TAAAATAGATACGCTGCTGTCATCTGCAACAACGTGGGTGGAACTGGAATAAGCCAGGCTTGGAAAACCCAATGTGACATGGTCTGGCTCACATATGGAATCTTAAAGACTTGATCTTGGGGCCAGAGAGCTGGCTTAGCAGTTAAGAATACTTGGATCCAGCCGGGCGGTGGTGGCGCATGCCTGTAATCCCAGCACTCGGGAGGCAGGCCGATCTCTGTGAGCTCGAGGCCGGCCTGGTCTACAAAGGGAGTTTCAGGACAGGCTCCAAAACTACAGAGAAACCCTGTCTCGAAAAACAAAAAGAATACTTGGATCCTAGGATCCAATTCGTTTCCCAGATACCATGTGGCAGCTTACAAGCACCTGTAACTCCAATCCCAAGGGATCCAACACCTTCTGGCCTCCGTGAGCACCAGTCATCCACATGGTGCACAGACAGACACACTTGCAGGCAAGGCACCCGTATGCATGAAGTAAAAGGAAAGAAAGTTTTTGAAAAAAGGTTGATCTCATAGAAGTTGCAGGCAGGATGGCAGTCACCAGAGGCTGGGGAGATAGCAACAGGGAGAGACTGACTGATCTTGGCTACTAAGTTACAGTCAACTTGAAACAAAGTCTGGTGTGCTGTTGCACAGCTGACCCCTGACAGCAGCCCTGTGCACTCATTTGTAAAACCTAGAAGAAAAGGTTTGAAGGTTTTCAGCGTAGTGAAGAGTGTTTACAGAAAGAGGTCTGTCTGGTCTGGTTTGCTATTACATGGAATCCCATAAATATACACACAATTTTTATGTTTTGCATGTTGGTTAAAGTAAATGGGTTCTCTGTGTGTACAGAGATCACCATAGTCAGTTCTAGAACATTTTATCTCCCCTAAAGAAATCCTGTGCCCATTCAGTTTTCCATTGCCTGCTCTACGCCCCTGGCCAGAACTTCCTTTCTGGCTCTGGATATATCTCGCTGCCACACCTCTTACTGCTCAGCCTCTCCCTCAGGACCAAGAATGTCTTCCTTTTACATTGGTAGTGTTCAGCATCTCCCCAGAACCATCTTGGCCCGGTACCAAGTGCCCTTCTCCTGGCCCTGGTGTACCTTGCTCCGTTGCCTGACCTTGCCTTCTTTCCTCTGCCAGGTTCACTGGGAGAAAGCTTCAAGTCTTAGACGTTGAGCCCATAGCATGTTTGACCTTATCACAATCCAGGACTCCAGGCCAGGCTGATGGCAAAGAAAGCATGCCATTCACCCAGCCCCACACTAGAGAGAAAGCCCTTGGGCTGAGGATGCTAGGTTCGGAGTGACCTGGGGGTCTTGTTTCTGAGCAGACTGGCTGGAGGTGATTTGTATCTCACATCGTGTACTGAGGGAAAGAGAACATTGAGAGAACTGAAGAACCCCCTGGTAAATTGCACAAGACTCACGCAGGCATCTCTGCAAGATCTGTCGATACTTGCTAGGATAGGATTAGAAAGGGAGAAACAGAAGGCAAGCAGAGAGCTGAGTTCTAGTAGGCTGGGCCCCTGGGTGAAGTCGTGGTGAGACCCTTGGAAAGTCATACCAAGCCTTTCATAATGTACAGGCACGACCAGGCATGTGGGATGCACCTTCCTGAGCCTGGTTTCCAGATTTTTCATGGTAGGACTGCTTGCTTCCGGGCTGGATTAAACATGGCCCATTGTTCTTAAATGTATAGGAGAGATTGCCTGTGTGCGTATGCACACCACAGATGCGCCTGGTGCTTGTGGAGGTCAGAAGGAGGAATCAGATCCCATGGAACTGGAGCCACAAGTGGCTGTGAGCCACCATGTGGGTGCTGGGAATAAACACCCAGGACCTCTGCAAGAACAAGTGCCTGCAACTGCTGAGCTGTCTCTCTAGCCCCCTTCTAGTCCATTCTTACATTGTCTTCTTGTGGGATATTGGGATGTGTCTTAAGCTGAAGGTCCATTTTAGGGTCTTGTTTTTGAAAACTTTCACATAATTTTATGCTATGTTTATTTTCTAGTACTGAGGCTAGAATGCAGGGCCTTGAGAATCGTGGGCAAGCTTCCTATCATTGAGCTAGACCCTCGGCCAGGCTAGTGCAATTTCAGTTCTGTGACGTAGCGAGGAGAATAATTATACCTAACCAAAATAGGCTCTAAAAGTTAAGCATGGGGCTGGAGAAATAACTCAGGGTTCAAAGTGCAGGGAGGACCGGATAGATATGAGTTCTCAGCACCCACATCAGGGAGCTCACAACCAACTGTAACTTCAGCTCCAGGGGATCCAGTGTCCTTTTCTGGCTTCAGTGGGCACGGCGCTCATGTTCATACATACCTCCAATCCACATAATCAAAAACAAAAATCTTTTAAAAGCCATGCATCCTCTGAAGTGCCCTGCATAAAAGTCACCACAGGGCAGAGAATGTATTTCTCCAGACTTGATGTTTCAGCACTGGAGACCAACACTTGTGTAATGGTTGTGATCTCTGTCACGTCACCCTGACAAAATCCATAATGGCTGAAGTTTAACTAGAGGGAATCTTTGTTATGCCAAGAGCCCTAATGGTTTTAGACTTGTAGTGCTTGTGTTGAAACAATGAATGAACTGGCTGGGTGATGGTGGCGCATGCCTTTAATCCCAGCACTCGGGAGGCAGAGGCAGGCTGATCTCTGTGAGTTCGAGGCCAGCCTGGTCTACAGAGCTAGTTCCAGGACAGGCTCCAAAACCACAGAGAAACCCTGTCTTGAAAAACAAAAAAAAAAACAAAACAAAAACAATGAATGGACTGGTCTTGGTGGTGCACGCCTTTAATCCTAGCACTTGGAAGGCAGAGGCAGGAGGATCTTTGTGATTTAGAGGCCAGCCTGGTCTACAGAGCAAGTTCAGCTACACAGAAAGACGTTTTCGCAAAGAAAAGAGTATTGCTGGATTTCTTAGAGGCTTTATGTTTTAGGCATCAAAAGTCAGAACAGGCACACATGGTGAGGAGACACCTGATATTTTGGTTACAATAACTCCTTGTGCAAGCCTTTATATATCCAGTGTGAGTCTTTAAAAAATATATATTATATATTTATATATAATATATATACACACACACACATACATATGTGTATATGACTTACTTTTATTTTATGTTCCTTGGTGCTTTGCTTATGTGTGTCCGTGTGAGGATGTCAGAAGCCCTGGAACTGGAGTTACAGACAGGTGTAAGTTGGGTGCTTAGAATTGAACCTGGGTCCTCTGTAAGATCAGCCAGTGCTCTTAACCGCTGAGCCATCCCTCCAGCCCCTACAATGTTATTCCTAAGTGTAAAATCTAATGGAGGCGAAAAGCATGGATGTTCAGTAATCACAGTGCGAAAGAATGTTACATTAGGAACCGATTCTGCTTTTTTTCTCTCTCTCTCTTTGGTTTATCGAGACAGGGTTTCTCAGTGTAAAAGCCCCGACTGTCCTAGAACTTGCTTTGTAAACCAGGCTGGCCTCAAACTCACAGAGATCCACCTGCCTCTGCCTCCTGAGTGCTGGGATTAAAAGGGTGCACCACCACTGCCCGGCCTGATTCATCTTTTCAAATAACTCAGAAATCCGTCCCCTCTCTTCCCATTGTCACTATGCTTGTACCTCTAGCTCTCAAGACTGTCTCAAAAATATGGATTCAATTTTCTTTTTTATTATTTTTTAATTCTTAATTGTGTGAATATGAGGGGCTGCACATAAGTACAGTACCCACTGAAGCCAGAAGAGGACATCAGGTCTCCTGAGATGGAGTTACAGGCAGCTGTGAGCTGCCCAGCATGGGCACTGGGAACTAAACGTGGGTCCTCTGGAAGAGCAATGTGTTTCCTTTACCACTGAGTGTCTCTTCAGCCCGGGCTGAAATTCTGATGTGGGCATGTTGACTGGCCTCCACCTGGAAATCAATACCCACTCCTCCGTTTTCTGCGCAGTTCCTCCCCGTCAACTCGGCTTCACTGCCTCTACTACTAACTCCTTTAAGAGTAAACCCTTCATCCGCATAGTGGTGGCGCACACTTTAATCCCAGCACTCGGGAGGCAGGGCAGGCAGATCTCTGTGAGTTTGAGACCAGCCTGGTCTACAGAGCGAGTTCCAGGACATCTAGGACTGTTACACAGAAACAGAGAAACCCTTCCTTTTCTGCTGGGGTGACCCATCGAGACTTGCAGCTGGCTCTCACTGTCTCCATCCGGGTCACACGTCCCCAGCAGGTTGGCTGTAGGCTTTCCTGGCGCGGATGTAATTGCAACCTCAGCTTGTCTCTCATCACCTCCTCCCTTCTGCTTTCGTTGACATCATCTCCTTCCCTGTTATTTATGTCTTTGTGATTTCTGCCTAGTTAAGGAAGTTAATAAGGTCCCAGGCTGGAGAGGTGGCTTAACAAGTAAGAGCATGTGTTGTTCTTGCAGAGGACCTGGGTTAGATTCCCAGCACCACCCACATGACAGCCTAGAGCTCTCTGTACCTGTGGTCCCAGGAAATCCAGCACCCTCTTCTGGCCTCTGCGGGCACCAGGCACACTCACAGGGCATAGACATATCTACAGGCAAACACTCACACCATAAACCTAATAATCATTAATAAGATCCCTTAATTGTTTTAGCAGCATTTCTGGAGGAAGGGGAGATAAATGGTGAGTTCAATCCAGTGTTTGAACACGAGAAGTCTCCCTTGTTGGTACGGAGACAGCAGGGTGCCTGGTCCTGGAGCCCCTGGAGAATACTTCCTCTACTGTGCTGACTCCATGGTAACCACAACTAGAGCTCATGATAGGGTAAAGGCCTTGGGTTTTCTGCATCTCTTGACAGTATCCCTTTTCTGTGCAGGCAAAATAGTGAGTGACTTACAGGTCATTTGTCAGAGGGGTGACCCAAATGGCAGGGGCCTTCCAGGACACAGAGAAGCATGCCCTAGGCTAGGTTTTGACTCCTACTTCCTGTGACTCTCTTTCTTCACATCACTGTGTATCTCTCACCGATCCCAAATCTACTTACAGGATGATGAGAGCCTGAAGCACCTCACACACGAGGAGAAGGACGTCATCCTGTTCTTTGAAGAGACTCTTGATTCCCTGGAATACGACTTTGATGAGCCAGCCCTGTGCGACAGTGGCATTCATTGTCACTCTCCACAGTCTCTGGAAGAGAGCCCTTCCGGTCACTCGGAACCTGAAGATGTCATTGATTTAGTCCAAGCAGGCCCCGAGAGCCTTCCAGATGTGGAGAGCCTTCCAGATGTGGCTCACGTAGCAGGTACACACATGTTCCCACGCCTTTGACTTGGTGTGGTGGTGCACTTGAGGCACACTGGCACCTTCTGCTCTGTCTGCCTCTGCTTGTCAGGATAGATGCTCTTGAAGCTCTTTCAGCTTCTGGAAGACTGAATTATCCTCTTGGTAGTCTCTCTAGCAAGGGGAACTCCAGAAAGACTGAATGAAGAAAGCCAACTGAAAGGAGGGGTGGGGGGCGGGGAGACCGAATGAGCATATAGATTGATAGATTGTGTGGTGGTGTGTGTGTGTGTGTGTGTGTGTGTGGTGTGTTTATGTGTCGCGGGGCACCTGATTTGTCCTGCATGATTATGTCCCATTTCTAACACGCGACTCTGTGAGGTAGTCCTAGAAAGAGCAGACAAAGTGCAGGCCAGCGCCCTCTTTGTATGCCCTGCATCACTGAGCGGCATCCATGAAGATGCCCATTGAATCCTGGGATAGAACTGGGAGGAAACGTTGTGAAAAGTTTCTTACAGCCTTTATTTGCCGATGGGAAGTGATATTAACAACAAATGAAGGAGGCACCCAGGACTAGACGAGAGACGAAACAGCGAAAACACGTGTGCTTTGCAGCCTGTAAACACCGGTGTTTGTCATAAGCTTCAGGGGAGGGTGTCTTTCTTTGTGAGACAGGGTCTCTCTGTGCATCTCCAGCTGACCTGGAGCTTGCTGTGTAGCCCAGCCTTACCGAATGCTGTCCTCCTGTTTCTGCCTCTTGAGCACTGCGATTACAGTATATGTTACCATTCTTGGCCTATTGTGTTTTCTTGTAAAGCAAACTGCCTTATTCAGAATTGACATCCCGCCGAAATAGCTCAGTTGGGAGAGCGTTAGACTGAATTGACATCCCACACAAAAGAGCATGGTTTGCAGCTAACCCTTGAGAGAAGAGACATTAAATTTTGCATTTTTTTTTAAACACTTCAGCCTTAAAGTATAGTTTCTAAAGTAACTTGAACCAACTGATCCTTTAAAAAGATTGGATCATGTAATCACACCAGAGAAAATGGGTTTGGAAAATTCAGCACATGTGCCCAGCAATTCTCTAACCTACTATTTCCATATCTTCTTTTGTTTGCTTGCTTTTTGAGACACGGTTTCTTTTTGTAGTCTTGGTTGTCCTGGAACTCGCTGTGTAAACCGGGCTGGCCTTGAACCATAGAGATCCACCTTCCTCTACCTCCTGAGCACTGGGATTCAAGACGGGCACCCCCATCTTCCACTCAGTGCTTTCTGAAGCCCCCTATGAGGTGGTCATTGCTTGCCTCCTGTCACATGCCCGCAGGGTGAGGGAACCTCAGAAGCACACCTTTCCAGACTGCTTCCTAACTGGCTGTTTCTGCCTGTAGATCTTCATCACCCTTTCAGGAATCTGTTGGGTCTCAGTGTATGGCCCTGGGGTAAATGGACTGCTTTCTTTCTCAGCGGTGCCGGCAGCAGAACCAGCATTTTGATTAGGCTTTGTAGAGGTTGGTAGTGTCCCACTGTGACTTTCTAAAGTTCAGTGGGCAGGAATGCCACGTGTCTACTTTTAGTAGGGTGAAAACTTACGAGGTCTCTTTTCTTTCAGGGGCCACATCTGTTACAAAACAGGGCACTCCTGCTCCTGAAGGTGGGAAACAAGCCGCTGAGAATTCCCTGGCCCCACCAGACTCCAGGGATCCTGAGGTGTTTCCTCTGCCACCCTCTCCGCCTGTCTCTGCGCCCTCTGCCCCCCGAAAGGAGCTGATATCCCCCTCTCCTCCGGTAGAGCATCCCAAACTGTCCCGCTCCGTGCCCACTCCTCTGGTGATTGCTCAGAAAATTTCTGAGAAGTTGGCGGGAAACGAAGCCCTGTCCCCCACGTCCCCTTCAAAGGAGGGCAGGCCTGGGGAATGGAGAATGCCGCCGACTTCGATAGCTTCTCGAAATGGGGACCAGGTCGGCGTGTGGCACCGACACACGGCCCAGCCAGCGCCCAAGGTCCACCGCTTCCCCAGCAACATAAGCGTGACCAACAGCGCCGGCAAGGACTTCAACAAGACTATCTCCAAGGCGGCTGTCAACGTGCAGGAGCGGAAGGCCCAGGTCCTGGCCAACATCAATGGCATGTCCTTCATCGCTGCGGGTGACACGTCATCGGAAGAGCGGTGGCAGAAGGCTGAGGAGCAGAGGTGTGGCTCTGCGGACGGAGGGCGCGCCCAGAGCAGGGTGGGCATGGCCGGGGAGCCTGGAGGGTCGCGTGCAGGAGGCCCAATTAGGGCACAGCAGTCCCGGGCCGTCCAGACCGAGCAGTCGCCAGCGCTGGCCAATGGCTTCCAGAGCGTGCATGAGGCTCTTCGCAGCGAGCCCAGCCCCTTCGTCCCCACCAGCAAGACCATCACCTTCCGACCAGACCCCGCTGTAGCGGGCAAGCTGGCGCGCCAGAACGCCAGCCGCAGCCTGTACGAGCCGCGCCTGGACGGCTCCCAGGATGCCCGCAAGCGCACAGGCTCGCTCCCCCGGGCTGTGGGCTTCCGGCCACAGGGCATCACAGTGCAGTTCTCAGGCCGTGGCTCCACAGAGGAAGCACGACGTGAGGCCCTGCGCAAGCTCGGGCTGCTGAAGGAGAACTTGTGATGGCCACAGTGGGACTGGCGCAGTGTCTGGGTAGACCCTGTATCCCCGCACTGGGTGTTCTATTCTCTAAGCACAGGAGCCGGGTAGCACAAAGTGCGGCATGTTCGGGGAAAATGCCTCCACCCCAACCCCTGTGTCCAGTGCAGCGTGGAGCCAGGGGCCAGTGGGGCAAGGACCAGATCCCCGGAGCTGTCCTCTTCCTTTCCTGGGGTCATGGGATAATCTTTAGGACCCGTGGGCTCCCATGGCTACAGATGACCTATGACTTACATATGTCAGGACGGCCTTGGCTGGACTTGGTCCAGGATCTCTGATCTGAACCTTTAATCCCGCGCAGGACTTGAAAGCCAGTGTAGTTCTCTGATGCTCAGGATTCCCCTTCCTCGAAAACTAAAAAGAAATGCTTGTTAAATTGTATAGTGTCAATATACACTTTGAAGTCTAGCTGTTTGTGTGTGTGTGTTTGTATTTTTGAAGAGTAGAAGATGGTACTTTACCAATCTGGATTTGTTTCTTGGCATAATTTGGTTTGCCCCATTTTCTTAACTGAAACTCTTAATGAACCCTTTAGAGTAAGATTTACTGTAATTTTGAACTGTAAGAACAAAACAGGATGTCAAGTTTGGAAAAGGTGGTAATTATGAGAAAGCAAGTCTCATGAGGCCGGGGATGTGTGTATGAGTCTATTGTGTATAAATATGTGTGCCTATGCTAACACACATGAGTATTGTGTGTCTGTGTATGCACATTTCTTAGGACATAAGTATCTCCTTCCGAAGACACCGTTATCTAACTACAGGATATGAACACTTCCTTTTCTCTCACAGACACCTCAGCATTGTGGTGAGCACTACGAAGTCTTCCTATTATGGAAGTTGGCTAGGGACACATGAACCCCAAGTCCCTTTTCCTCAACGGTGTGTTCTGTTCCCAATTAAAGTAGTATTTCCTGCTTTCAAATAAGCAAGGTAGTTCCTGTTTTTACTTAAGAACATTTTTTTTCATTTAAAGAAAAATTAAAATCTTTGTCGCCTCCCTAGTTTGTGTTGCGAGGTAGTAGACAGAAGGGAACGATCTGATTGGTTATGCTCCACGCACACTGTCTCAGGACTCACTCGAAGGAGAAAACTGAACTCAGTTATGCAGCATGAAGAGTTTTCTTTTCTCCCAGACTTTGTCTTTTTACAGAGTTGCGGCCACAAGTGTTATTATCAAAACTATTTAAGGCTGGAGTCTCAAACCTCTAAGAATAGATGGGGAAAGACTGGCCTGGGAGCCACACCCGCAGGTCCACAGCAGCACTGCGACAGAGCCCTGTTTCCTTTCCAGCTGAGCATCACTGAGACGCTGAGCTGTTGAAGGCCATTTTCACGGTACTCTGCTCGCCTTGTAAGTTCCGTAAGATGAATGATTAGGTTTTATGTCTTCAGAACCATGGTCTAGCAACTCGCCCAGCTCTTTCTTCTTCTGAAGTCTTTGCAAACATTTTTTAATCCTATTTAAGAAAGGGCTTTAAACTTTTAAAAGTACCTTTAATTTTGCTCCTGCTTATGATGGATTTTTTTTTTTGACAGGAGCCCAGAGGTTTCCCTTTGACAAAGTCAGATGCCACACACAGTGTTTAATAATTGATGGTCTCAATACAACTGTTACAGACATCCTTCATAAAGGATTTTCCTATCACTTTATTGCGAATAGACTGAGTTTGACTGTAGATTAATATATTCTTGTAATGACATTTTTGAAAAAAACATATTTTTATCTTTCCTATAAACAACTGTATTACATTATGCACTATATTACTTCCTTTTAAAGGGTTATATCCTTTTCTTCTATTTATTCATGTTTTCTTTCTATTTAATCCATGATTATATTGACTGTTACTTTGTTTCTTGTGTCCAAAGCCCTAGTGATTAAAGCCCTATTTTTGTGAATGGTGAGGGACCTGCAGTGTGTCTCGTCTGCTGAAAAGCATTACTTTCCTTGCAGTAGTTATGGGGTGTGACGTGTTTGTTTGTTTTCAAGACAGGGTTTCTCTGTAGCTTTGGAGCCTGTCCTGAAACTCACTCTGTAGACCAGGCTGGCCTCGAATTCACAGAGATCTGCCTGTCTCTGCCTCCTGAGTGCTGGGATTAAAGACATGCACTGCCATCACCCAGCTGTGATGTGACATTCTTAAATGACATCTAGTTCCCAGGGTTGAAGGACCATAATTCAAAGCAAGATTGTAACGAAAAGCGAAGGTAGATCTAAAGTCCCAGTTAATCCTCAGGTGACATTATAAACACCCCTTCATCTCTAGAAAACTCTGTTGTGCTACGTAAAAGTCAGGAAACAAACAAAACAATTTCTCCTTCCCTTTACTATCTATCGATGTCCAAACTAGAGTCCCACAGCACAGCCCTACCTAGCTGTCCCTGGGAGAAGCGGCTGCTCCAGCTCTTGCCTCCGAATCTGCACCCTACCTTAGTGTGTGTGCTCATCTTCACAAAATAGGCAGAACCTTTGCCCTTTGCTCTCTTCCTCACTAAGGTTACATCCTCTTGTGCTGCCTGCTCGAGGAGAAAGGGAGGAGTCAGGCTGTAGGATGTTACCCACCAGATGTGCTTAGGCCCCTGACACACACAGTGACTGACCACGGAGCCCTCAAAAATCACAAAGCATACAGACAGACGGGGCTACAGAAATAGACTTTTGACTGTAGAAGTCTTTGCATGCTGTGCTCGTGGGGAGCAGGGTAGGACCCCGTTGAGAACTAGCTTCCACGAGGAGCTTGGTAGAGCTGACCAGAGGCCAATGGAGCCCTGGTATCTCAAAACGAAACAAAGGGAAGTGCATTCTTCCCAAACCCCCAGGGCTTTGGCCCGGAGGATCAGACCTTTCCCAGGATTTAGTGGTGACTTCTGTGCAGGTGATATCAGTTCTTTAACGTGAATTAAAGAGGAAGAAAGATGATAAATATGACAACAATTTACTCTTATCAAAGAAATGTGTGTCTGCTACACAGCTGTTTTCTTAGCTGGTACAAGAACAATGAAGGCATTGTTTCTCTCTGGCTACTTTATTGACGTGACCTGGGCAAGGTTAATAAACTTAGTTTTGCCCTAAACTGTGTTCTCAAACTTCTGTCATCCAATAGCGGTGTAGTCTAGATGAGCAGTAGCCTTGCTTCTCTGGGTCCCTTGTCCTCGTCCTGGTCCCCAGCCAAGACTGCTGGATGGAAGGAGGAAGGGGAGGGTCATGAATGTTCACCTCGAGAGGTTTCTGTTCTCTCTAAAGTGACAAGTCACCAAACAGGTTTTGTGTCTTCTCTTCACGAGGCTTTCTCTGCCTGGCTTTAAAGTATGGGGACAGGTTCCCATATCCTTTTCTAATCTAGTCGGACAAGCTGTGCTTTCCGATACCTGAGAAAAGAGAAGCCTGGACTGTAAGCTGCCGTGTCCTGGGAATGTTGCTGCTCTTTGGGGCTGAGTTTGAAACGGAGGCCCAGTTGGAAATTCAGTTCAGCCACTGGCCTCCCATTCAGGGCCAGAATCATCTGCTTTCTCTGGGCATCAAAGCGGGGGGTGGGGGCTAGGGAGGATGGGGGGGAGTAGAAGCAGCACTGGGAATCTGCTTCTGGAGATGCTAGAGAGACATCACATACTTCTTAGCCTTTGTGGGTGGCAGTTGAAATGCTTTTAAAGGTGCCTTGATTCAGAAAGATACAGCAAAACCATCCTCTGCAGTCCTGTTTCCTAAGACTTCTGGCTGGACGTGTGGTGCACTGCTGTATTAGCCCTGCTTGGGAGGGGGAGGTAGGCAGATGAGTTAAGGTCATCCTCAGCCACAAAGCAATGTTGGGGTCTTCTAAAGACCCAGTCTTCAGAACACAGCAAAATTCCAGAAATGTCACTCCCTCCTGGTGCCAGTGACAGCGGCGATGGGGGTGGGGAGGCAGCACAAAGAATCCCCAGGAACGGGAACTATTTCCTTCAGTCTTCCTCCTTGTCCTTCCTCTGAACTACACAAACTTTCTGTTGTGCAACTGTTAAAGGAGGAAGGAGGCATAAGGAGGACTTCCAGAAACGTCTGTGTGGCCCACCAAAGAGTCTCCAGTCTAGAAGAGGACAGAGGTTCATGTGTCTCAGAAATTTCTTACCAGTCCCCCAGGTGCCATTGCTTTAAGGTATCCTGGGATCTAGACTGGGCAGATTAGGAGGGGTCTTCATGGTGTGTTTAATAGAGGTTCTCAAATCCCAAGCTTACCTCAAAATTCTCAGAGCCCGCCAGGTGGTGGTAGCACATGCCTTTAATCCCAGCACTTGGGAGGAAGAGGCAGGCAGAGCTCTGTGAGTTTGAGACCAGCCTGGTCTACAGAGCGAGTTCCAGGACAGGTTCCAAAGGTTACACAGAGAAACCCTGTCTCGAAAAACCAAACAAAAGCAAGACCAAAAATCCTCAGGGGGCATCTATTCCTCACTGGGGAGAGTTTGGAAGAGGAAACTCCAAGCTAAAGTCTAGCCACTCTTAGGTTCAGGGCTCCAGTCCCCACTGCCAGCTATGGTGGCAGGCTGCACCTAACACTGTAGTCACAGTTGGAAGCTGAAGTTAATGGAGCCTCATCCCCGTCACCGACAAACAGGTCACACTTCATCAACTCTAACTACAGATACGTGTGTGTGCAGCCAAGCTGCCGACGGTACTAGTCAAAATTCTGGAAATACCTTCAAAGGGTGAAGCTGAATGAAAAGGAACCCTAGGCCAGGGAGTTGGCATGGTGCCTGTGTGTGTGTGCAAGCACGTGTGTGATGCGTACACTCTCCTAGAGTGACCAGGCTGACGTCAGCCCTTGGCATCTCTGATTTGCACTCATTATATTGAGTATATTGGCCTTGAGTGTTGCCACTTACAGAGGCCTGACCTTGTTACCAATGACGCCTCTAGGTCTCTGTGGCCTTGGGAAATGACGTAAGCCCTTGGTACGCCTGAAATCAGGTTGCTTGTAAGTTGCTGTGGTGGCAAGTTTCAAAGCTCCCTTCAGGTTCCATCTCATTCTATTGCCCAACAGTTTCCTGGCCCATGAAACTAGGTAGACTTTGTCCATCTGTTTGTTTGCTGTCTACATGTGTGGTGTGTGAGCGTTTGAGTTTGGGGAAGATGCACACACTCTGCCTTGTGAGGCAGAATGAAGAAGGGCTTATGGAGCCCAGGACACTGTATTAACTGGAGTACCTCCTGCCTATCTTTATACATAAGCCCTCCAGCCAGGCCCCTTTCCCGAGGACCTCCAACTGCCAGGTTCCACCAAAGAATACTCTAGCTGCCCTAACTGCTTGACCTGCCCCCAACCCTACAGAATAAAAAACCCAATCTCTTAATGTGAAATTCCACCAGTCTTCACCCTGAAAAGTTCACCCTCCTGGCAAGAAACTTTATGCAAACCTGTATCCTGTTCCGTTTCT